CAGGACGTTGTTTGGAAGTGGGTGTGTTTTCAAATGCACAGAATACAAATTGTTCTCCCTAAATATTATTGTAAAACTAAAATCTGACCTAGACTTTCGAGAATGATACCTCATCTTTGAAAAAAAGCAACACAAATGTCTGAAGATGTATTCAAGATTACTATCAGTATCTTGATTTAAGAGTATGCATCATTTTTAAGAACTTTAAAGATATTATATCAAACACTTTAAGGCAATGAGTTGCTGGGCCTGGGAGCTCAAGGTCATAGTGTCAGGGACACCAGGGTCAATTGGCATAACATAGAACACAAAGACGATGTTCTACATTCTACTTTGGTGAGTAGAGACTGGGATCTTGGGAGCTCATGAGTGGTCATCTAAGGTGTAACTATTAATCTCTTCATATGTGGAAGAAAGAAGAGTGGTAAAACTTGAAAAGGCTTGGAATCAATTAGTCCAATGGAACATGTAACCATCAGTCTCCATGATGCTGAGACCTGAAGAACTAGATGGTGCCCAACTACCACTACCAACCACTCTGAAAGGGATTACATTAGAAAGTCCCAGAGAGAGTGGTAGAAAATGTGGAACAAAACTCAGAATCATAAAAAATGACAGAGCTTACTGGTCAGTAAGAAACTAGAGGAACCTGAGACTCTCACCCTGGACCAACTCCTTCAGGTCTGGAAAGGAACTCACCCTCGTGGCCCAATTTTCAGTCAAGCAGTAGATAGGCACATAGAGGGGGCAACAACACTAGTAATATCTGTTCATTGTGGAAGAGTCAACCATTTTCAAGATCAAAAGGGCAGCAGTTGCCTAAGGACAGAGTTGAGAAGGGCTAAGACAGAGGGTGGACTGGAAATATGAACCACAAGGAGGAAGTGGGATAACTGTTGTTCCATGGAGGGGATTGCAATCAGTGAGATGACACAACATGTATGATTTATTGAATGTACAACTGGTGATCTGCTAAGTAAACCTTCACTTGATTCACAATAAAAAATTAACTTTAAAAAAAGACTATGCATCATCTTGCAGCTGTCATAATAAAAATGGATTTAGACAAGACTAATTAAAGAATGCAAAAACCATTAGGTAAAAGTTTGAGGGACAGGACATTGACACAGTCCTAGATTACTTCCCCCACAGAAAATCCATATGGAAGACTGTCAGTTCTCAGAAGACACCTGGCAGGCCCCACGTCCACCCAGTAATCAAAATGAGCATCTCCAGTAAAGGGACAAGGTGACATCAAGTGCCTTGGATGGGACCACTGAAGGGAACACAGCATCAAGCATGCCCAAATCAGGGAACACTGAGCCGACCCTAAAATCATTACAAGTTAAAAAGTCAATAGACTAAGAGAAAGAAAGGCTTAAAAACCATACTTTCATATCTACTGCAATGTGACAGGAGACATGGCTTGTAAGTGTGGTGAGGGGTTGAACAACAACAACAGAAAAACTGCTAAAGATGTATTATTGGGACAATTAGAGAAGCTTGGGAAAAGCTATTGCTAAACTTCCTGCACTTGCTATACATCATGGTTCTTTAAGCAACAGCTCTAGTGAAGCAGAGGTTTAAGTGCTCAGCTGTTAACTGAAAGGCCGGTAGTTTGAATCCACGATGTGGTAGTCTGCTTCTGTAGTAAAGACTGTTGTTGTTCGGTGTCATGGCATCGGGTCTGACTCACAGTGACCTTAGGGCACAAGAGAAGGAACTACTGCCCAGTCCTGTGCCATCCTCACAATTGGTGCCATGTTTGAGCCCACTGTTGCAGCTCCTGTGTCAACCCAGGAAACGAACCCACTACACTACCAGGGTCCTTTCTTACAGAATCACAATACAATAGTGTGCTTGGTAAGTGCTGTTGAGTTGGTTCCCACTCACAGCAACCCTGTATAGGCTTTCCAATAAATGGTTGGCGAGTTTGGATCACCAACCTTGTGTTTTAGCAGTCCACTGCTTATCCTACAGCACCACACCATACCCAGTGTAAGCTAAGAGCCTTGGAAACCCTATGGAGCAGATCTACTCGGTCCTATAGGAGCTCAAGGAGGTGGAATCCACTCGCTGGAATGGGAGTTCTGTAGGATAACGTCCTTGTCCTTTAGGACACATGTGCTCAAGTATTTAGGGGTGTTGTTGATGTTCATGTTAGGTGCCACTGAGTCGGTACCGACCCACATTGACTGTATGCACAGCAGAACAAAACACTGCCCAATCCTGGGCCAACCTCACTATCGTTGCCACGCTTAAGTCCATCGATGCTGCCACTTGGCCAGTCCATCTCGCTGGGGGTCTTCCTCTTTTTCTCTGACCCTCCACCTTACCAAACATGATATCCTTCTCCATTTAGGGGTAAACGTCATGTCTGTAACTTACTCTCAGGTGAGTCAACAATAACAATACTTAGTAATATTTGATGCATGTTTATGTATGTGTGCAGCAAGAACAAACAACTGTCAGTAAACGGTGGGAGTCCTTGTGTGGAACTGCAGGATAAGAACTGATCTGCTATCCACAAGTCGGCAGTTCAAATCACCAGCTGTTCCTCAGAAACCCTGTACAGGCTCACTATGAGTCAGAACCAACTCAACGGCACTGAACAACAACCAAAGTGAAGGGTATATGGGAGAGTTCATCGCACCATGCCTACAACTTTCCTATAGGTTTAAGTTTTTTCAAAACCGTTTTGAAAGTAAAAAAATTCAAAAATACAGTACCACAATTTTCAAACACTATTAACAGGGAAATGAACGGAATGGATTAAAGGTTTCAAATTGCTTGGAAACACTTAAGTATAAACAAACTGTTTAAAAGAACAAAGTGAGAGGGCAGGATTACAGATGGGAAGAAGGGGGTTGTCAAAAGCTCATGTGTGTCTGTCATCCATTTGTTGGGAGCCTCAGAAGAGGCTGTGGGTCACCATTGTGCCCACAAGCACCATGCCACGTCTCACTGAGTAGAGGATATAAGCAGGGAAAGAATGACATCCCACAAGGGAGGGTAACAACTAAGGTTACTACAAATATGGTGAGTCACTTCCTCTGAGGAAGAAGGGCAAACATTTCTTATTTCCTAAAGGACTCATTTGAGTTCTAGTGTTGGAGGAGAATATTGAAGGTACCAGGGATTGCCAAAAGAACAAGTAGATTTGTCTTGGAAGAAGTACAGCCAGAATGCTCCTTGGACGCCAAAATGGCCAGACTTCATCTGTCTTACTTTGCAGGAAAAAAGAGGAAGACCCCCAACGGGCACAGTGGCGGCAGCAGTGGGCTCAAGCAAATCAATGATTGTGAGGTTGGTGCAGGACCGGGTAGTGTTTCGTTCTGCTGTACAGAAAGTCACTATGAGTTGGTACTGACTCGATGGCACCTAACAACAACAACAACAACAAGGGACTCAGAGGTACTGTAGAGCACAATGTACAAATAAGCAGTAAAGTAGGTCAGGAACACCCACAGCCCATTCACTCAATGCTTCTGACCACACTCCACCAAAAATCCAATTATTAGGGTCAATTCCAATTAATGGCGACCCCATGTATGTCCCAGTAGAACTATAGTCATGGGATTTTCAAGGATGGACTTTTTGGAAGTATATCACAGTCTTTGCTTCTGAGGTCCTTCTGGGTGGACTGGAGCCTATAACCTCTCATTTAACAGCTGAGGGCATTAACCGTTTACACCACTCAGGGACTCCACCATAGTCCCCTTTAATTTCAAAACTCAATGTCAACTCAAACCTCTTATCCATTTCAGGTTCCATATTCCCAAGCTCCTGAGGGGAAACAATGCAACTGAAATGAAGGGGAGCTCATGGGATTGGCTCATGTTTCCTCACCTTGAGTGCGCAATGTCCTTGGTTTTCTTTGGCTCATCACCTCTCGCCATTTCTCCACCCTCAACCAAGCCGACCTTTAGAAGTGCAGCTTGTTGGCCCAGCAGGCATCCGTCCCTCTACCAGCAGCACACACACATGGACGGATTAGGCAGAGCTATGCTGTAAAGCACACACACACTCTCCCAATGTGTGGTTTTCATTCCAGAAATACTTTATTCCTAAACAACATCTATGCTTCTCTTGGCAAGAATCTGCGTGAGTGGCTCTGGACCAAGGGAAGGAATTGTTTAGAGACTGGGACTTTCTTACAGCTCCTTTACCTCCAAAGATCACAAACAGAACCCTCAAGGGAAATGGTAATAGGAAACAGCAGAAAACCCAAAGCTTATTGGGGTGGGGGGGCCTGGGAGGAAGGGGCAGGACCAGCAAAACTTATGTTTGCAATTGTTGTTGTTGTTTTTTCAAAGTTGCCTAAAGGAAATACTTGAAATAGGAGCTATAACATAGAATTACCTTCCATGAGAGTAGAAATTACAAAGTGAGGACAAGGAACCAAAAGTATTACCTCTACCAAGAAAAGACAATGATCATTTGTTGCCTTCCATCTACATGTATTCATTGTTGTTTAAGGTCACCTACCAAACTGCTGTTTGCCTCTGGTGTGTATTTTATTGTTGTGCCTTGCTTCATACAGACTTTTCTCCCATATCAAAAAATGAATCCAAAAGAAGAAAGTCCATTTCCCTTTCTCTGCACTCATTACCAGATATTTATTGGAAATTCACTCTCGAGGGCAGTGTATCATCAATGGACTTTGCCCAGAATCTTACGTTACCACCAAGAAAATTATAGAACCATCATCTAATAATACATGTATGGAGCCTAGTGTGGCACTGTAAGATAAGCACAGGACTTCTAACTTCAAGATTGGTAGCTCAAACCCACCAGCTGCTCCTTGGAAACCCTATACAGCGTCGCTATGAGTTAGAACGGACTCAATGGCACTTCTTAACAACGATAATACATGTATACCGAGCACAGATGATAATGACATCAAACTCAATCGGACATGCACACACCAGCGCCCATTTGCTTTCCCATCACCTTCTGGGGAGTCCTGGTGTTGGGCAGAGACAGGGAGGGGAACTTACTTTCTTTCCACTTCTGGTGTTGACACGGCGCTGCAGAAACCAAGAGACTCCTGTAAGAACAGATTCTTAGTGTCAGTACAGGCAATGCAACAAGCTTCATCTGACTGGTACAGAATATCATATTTTTTTTACAGAAGCAAAAATATAGATGATTAAAGTCATTGTGCTTACTTCAATCTGGGACCGCAGCTGAAGTGACGTGGGACAGGCATCGGGTTTCTCCTAGGACAGAACAGATGCTGCTTTAATGAGGTTTCCAAACGTGGCATAGCCCACAAAGACAAGTATGTATGTATGTGTGTAAGAAGAAACGGGAGGATTTGAGAGTCACGAGGGTGGAGTGGGAGGAGAGAGTGGAGATAACCAGGTTTTTCTGGGGGAACGACAGAATTTTTTCCAATGAGAGCTCTGGCCTTTTAAGATTGAATTGTTTTCCCAACGTCACTATTTGACACTGCTGACAATTTTACTGCAAAAAGAAACAGCACAATCTAATAGGAAGGGACTAAGTTGTTGAAATAATTCTCTAGGACATTGACTTTTCTGTGACCCATCTGTGTTTGGTTTCTCTTTTTTAATAACAGTGTGAGAGGGTTTCAAAAAAGTTCAGAGGAAAACCTCTGGGCCGTCGTATTCTGTCCTACAAGGTCACTATGAGTCGGAGCCAACTAGACAGCAAATTACAAACACATCAGTATAAAATACATACAGAATTCCAAAGATTTATTAGGAAAAACCGTGGCTGCTAACTGTCTCATGAATAACTTTTATGTTGATTAAATGGTGATGTCACAGTATTGTGACATATGAAACAAAATGCATTATTGAAATAAATGTTTCTATGTTAAAAAAACAAACAAACATATGTTCAGGATGTGATCTGTGATTTTTTTCAATGTAAAATGGGGTGTAGCCAAGGAGTGAGGTGGAGTATAGCTGAAATAAAGTTGCCTATGAGTTGGTGCAAAGATCTGGAGTCAGAAAACCAAAAAGGAAGAACACGTTCAGCCTTTCTCAAGCTGGGGGAACCAAAGAAAAAAATTCAAGCCTCGACTTTCATTATTGAAGGATTCTCTAGGCAAATTATTGAATGATGCAGAAAGCATCAAGAGAAGCTGAAAGAAATACACAGAGTCACTATACTAAAAGGAAATGGTTTTCACCTGCTTGTACAATCTAAGGCATTCTGGTGGCATAGTGGTTTAAGCACTGGACTGCTAACCATAAGGTCTTAGGTTCAAATCCACCAGCTGCTTCTCAGGAAAAGAGAAGAGGATCTACTCACATAAGATTTATAGCCTCGGAAACCCCGTGGAGCAGTTCTCCTCTGCCCTATTACATTGCTATGAGTAGGCATTCAGTCTACGACAGTGGGGTGTACAATATGGACAACTCTTTTAAAAAAACAAAAAACAAAAACAACCAGCTGCTGTTGAGTTGGTTCCAACTCACAGCGACCCTGTATAGGATTTCCGAGGCTATAAATGAGAGCGGAAAGCCTCATCTTTCTCATGTGGAGTGGCTGGTGGATTCAAACCGCTGACCTTGGAGTCAGCAGCCCAAAGCATACCCACTATGTTACCAGGGATTCTGTGACAACAACTATGTTGTTGTTGTTAGGTGCCATTGAGTTGGTACTGACTCATAGCACAACAGCACAAAACACTGCCCGCTCCTGCACCAACCTCACAATCATTGCTTCATTTGAGCCCCCCAGGGCCGCTGTCACTGTGTCAATCCACCTTGTTGGGGGTCTTCCTCTTTTTCTCTGACCCTTCACTTTACAAACATGATATCCTTCTCCAGGGACTGGTTCCTCCTTAAAATATGTCCTACGTATGAGAGACAAAGTCTGGCCATCTGGGCTTCCAAGGAGCATTCTGACTGTACTTCTAACGCAGATTTGTTTATTCTTTTGGCAGTCCCGGGCATTTTTAATTTTCTTCTCCAACACCATAACTCAAATACATCAGTTCTTCTATGGTCTTCCTTATTCACTGTCCAACTTTCACATGCATATGAGGCTACTGAAGATACCATGGCTTGGTCCATGAGCACCTTAGTCCTCAAGCTGGCATCTTAACTATGACAACAACTATAGTCACACTCTAGGTGATGGGTAAAATATAACTAAAACTCTGATCCGGAATGAATTCATTTTAAAAGCCCCAGCCTGTTGTGCAATGTAACAGATTCAAAAGCCCACCTAGGCCACAGGATGAATCTGGAAAACCAGTATCACCCCAATAGCACCCACTCCAACTTTGTTTCCATTTCCTGTGGAAACCCACTTGTCTCCCTCCCTGGACACTGTCAGTGCTCGAAGCCAAACGAGCTTTGCAGCTGGAAAAGTAGGAGCAATAAAACCCCTCTCCTCTTTCAAAACTGGGAAGGAAAAGCATCAGGCACCCACCAGAACAGGTCAAAGCCAAGTTCTCCTCCTTTATGTTAAGTGCAGAAAGGAAGGGGTGGCAAAAGAGAGAGATGCTTAGCAACATTCAGCTACAAAGCAAAATGCCACATGCTTATTACTGATGTGTTCAATTAACTACAGGGAACCGGCTCTAAATTGCTGGGGAAAGTTGCTGCTCATGGTGGATTTTCAAACTTGACATTTGCTGGTTTATAAGAAGACTGCTGAGCTACGGAGTCTGTCAGCTGGCAAAGTAAACTGTGTTTTCTTTCTCAGGAGAGATCCTTGCAAAATGACAAATAAACAAGACAGAAACTTCTAAGCAAGCCCTACTTGTAAAGACACTGCTAATTGCACACAACCTAATCTTGACATTTGCAAATAAGTCTCTGCTATCAAACTCTAGCAGGTAATTTCTAACTTTGAAGTCAGTCCACTTGTTTAACTGTTGACAGGGGGTGGGGGCGTTGCTTCTTTACTCTTACTTGAAAATCAAAAATACTCTATTTGCAGAAGTCTTAGGAGCTCAAGTCTTGAGTCCGTAAGGGCTTCACTGTGGTTTAGACGCCCACTTATGTGTTTTGACTCACAGACCCTCGTGTACAACAGAATCAAACACTGCTCGATCCTGCACCTTGTCACAGTCTTTGTACATTTGAGACCATTGTTGTAGCTAATGTGCCAGTCCATCTCATTGAGGGTTTTGGCTGACCCTCTGCTTTATCAAGCATGATGTTCTTCTCCAGGGTCTGGTCCCTTGTGACAACATGCCCAAAGTAAGGGAGATGAAGACTTGCTATTCTCACGTCTAAGGAGCATTCTGACTGTACTTCTTCCAACACACTTTCGTTCATTTGATGAATTGCTGCTGTGTGCCGTTGAGTCAGTTCCGACTCACAGCGACCCTGTAGAGTTTCTGAGGCTGTATCCTTCCAGGAGCAGAAGGTCTCATCTTTCCCTATGGAGCAACTGAAGGATTCCAGCTGCTGACCTTAAGGTTAGCGACCCATTGCATAACCCACTACGCTACCAGGGCTCCTTGTTGTTAAGTGTCGTGGAGCTGGTTCCAACCCATAGTGACCCTGTATAAGGTTCCTGAGGACCATCTGGTGAGTTTGAACTGCCAGCCCAAACCGACTTTGCAGTCCCGCACATTAGCCCACAGCACCACACCAGGACTCCACAGTTGATGAATTTGTTACTGTTGTTAAGTTCCGCCGAGTTGATTCTGACCCATAGCGACTCTGTATAGAGTTTCCAAGGAGCAGCTGGTGAGCTTGAACTACCGACCTTGCAGTTCAAATGATTCTGCAGTCTGACACATCAGCCCACAGCGCCACACAGTTGATGAATTACTGGCTGGTATTTAGCCTGTTGGAGTCCTAGTGTGGCATTGTGGGCTAATGCACTGGCCTGTAAAGCCAGTTTAAACCACAAGGTCGGCAGTTCAAACTCAGCAGCTGCTCCTTATAAACCCTATACAGGGTTGCTATGGGTTGGAACCAACGTGATGGCACTAACACTAACAAATTTAACGTGTTAGTACAATTATCTCCCTTTTTGTGCAGTGGATGCTGACAAGTTGATTGAGAATGATAATGAATATTGCTTCTTCACTCCTGCCACAGGACCAGGAACGTCAAAATGGCTAAAGATAACTTCAAATGTATATCCTCATTAAAAACAAACCTAAGAAATGAGTCTAAGTGCTTTTAGACTACACCTTTAGACTACTCCCACCTCTCCCATTCTACTTGCTCCCAGGAGGAAGAGTGTGTGCTGGCAAAACAATGACTTAATGGACACACAGGAGTGTTCTTCCCCTGTACCAGGCTAACATCCTTCCCAGAGGCCCACTAGAAACCCTGCCAGCAACACAAGGATTAAGCAAAGCAATCATGGCGCTATATACTGGTGTAGCCTGAAAATCACCATATCTCAAACTTTTAATTTTTACCTTTGCCTGGAAACAGAGCCATGATTGGATTTCTCTATTCTAGTCAATTTCTGAGCCCTCACTGTTAATTTTACCAGACTTCAATGTGGTCCTGGAGTCTTCTCATTCCCCTTGAAATCAGGAGCTACCGGAGCTCCAGTAACAGAGTGGATTACTAGCCGAGCCACTAACCGAAAGGTCGTAGTTCGAATCTACCAGACTCTCAGTGGGAGAAAAGCTGAGGCTTTCTGCTCCTGTAAAGATTTATAGAGCTGAGAGACACAGGGTCGCTATGAGTCAGAACTGACTCCACGGCACACTACCACCACCAGAGAGATTGCTGCTTCCTTCCCAAGTTTTCCTGCATCCCCCAAATCCCTTCCTTCTCACAGACAGCAGTTTCTTTGAGGTACTTCGCCTCTCAGGTCTTGGGGCACCACTAATAAAGTGGAGACGAGGCTCCTGCTGGGAATAATAGAACTGTGTTCCAGTCCCGCTCCCCACTAGAGTGAGACCACATCAGGCAAACTACTCGGACCTCTTGTGGTTTATTCCCAATGGCTAAGAAGAAATGGGCCATTTACTTACCTTAACGTTGGTTTTGACTCTGCAACTTAAATGAAGTAGTCTCATGCGCACCTAAAACAGGTCTGTCAATCAAATCTTGAACTAGTACTCGATGCCCTGCCTACTCTAGGTGATCCTGAATCAGTAGTATCACCATCACCTGGGAGCAGGTTAGCTCTGTTGAGTCTTGCCCTCCCTCTTCACCCCCGAAAATGCAATCTATTGCCTCACAGTAATCCTCCCCCATGGGGCTTCCAAGGCTGGGGTCTTTAAGGAAGCAGACGATCATGTCTCTCACCTACTGGA